TTCATTTGATTTCCCCCAATTATCCTCGGTGTAACGACATTCTTGCTCAGTTGTATTAGACATGAGCTTTTGATTTTGGTGGGATATTCCTTTATTTCTTCTTGTCAGCTTTGAGCATAAGGGCAGAGACAAGATCACTTGTGGTAGAACTATGACTTTTTAGATAGAGAGTTATGTCCATTATGTTAAAACTGTATGTGACTGTACCTCAGAATTATGTTAGTTAATATGTACTGGAGAAGAAAGTAGGAGAGAGTAAATGACAAATAATGATATCAAGGAATGGAAGTATTTTTAAAATATGGAAAGGGTGATTGGAACTTCCGTTGATAATTCCAACTGCAAAGGGTTGGAAATATCAGAAGATGTTGTACATAAGCCTTTTTGATTTTGAATAGAACAAAGTTTTGTGAGTACTGTAATTAATGTTCTACTTGGGGGAGGGTTGAGAAATGTGTGCAACTTTTGGCATGTAGACTTGAAAGGATATAGATATAGTGGAGAGGATTACTTTAAAATATTGGGTGCCTGCTTATGCAGACTCTTATCATTGGATAAAAGATTGCATATAGGACATGATTTTCTAAGTGCTGTCACAGATGGCGAATTAACCAGATGGAAAAACACAACGTGGAGAACTGTGGGTCTGTGATATGTGATAACTCCTCTTAATTGACCTGTCTCTCAATTCAAGCTGTACTTATCACACAGATTTCTGACTCCCTTTGTTTTGTGTAAAAGAGGAATAGCTATTTATTACTAACAAAATCTACTTTACAAAAGTCTAGGAATGGCAATGGTACACATTCTTAAAGCCACTAACTAAATGTTACTCCGAAATCCCCCTTTTCCCCACGCTGGCACTTAAACCTGACAGATAAAACAAAAGGTTAGTAATGGAGGTTAAATATTAGTTTAAAGATAGAAAGGTGGCAAGCCATGTGGCTGGACTCTTAGCATTTGAATCTCGAGCTAGCAGTTCCAACGTCTCAATATGTTAAACCCCTCTGAGTAGCTCTACGATAGTTTGTTGATGAAAGACCTTAAGCCTTTGAAAAAGTAACAGAGGTGGGTTGATTCTTTCTTCTGGACAGTCTCCACATGGTATCCTACCAATGCACACTCATGATGCAGCTCCTTGCCAAAAACGGTCTTCCAGTTCAACCTTTACTGCTCAAGTCACAGTTATCCGTTCTTTGCTTCAAGCAATGGTTCCTTACCAAGCAGACACTCACAGTACGTCCTCTCTAACAGCAATCCTTTCTTGGACTTCACTGCTCAAGCTCTAGCTGTTGATCAACCACACAGCGCTGCAGGGTTTGCCTTTACAACTCAAACCCCTCACTTTTCTGTCCAGATTGTAACTTTTCTTACTGGTCATTTTCAAGCTTGTTGCAAGGTCATAGCTTTAAACTCTCTCTTAGCTTTGGTTGGCTTTCTGCAGTACAGGAGTGACTGATCTGTGGCCAATACGTGCTGATTCCTGCAATCCCCAAAGTCAGTTCCCCTAGTGAGGGGCGAGCAATAGACTGAATGATGAACCTTATAGATAATACCAGTCTTTTCTCTTAGTTTTTAAAAACTAACATAGGAGTTAGTTATAAAAAGAAAAGTTAGAAAGAATAGGTAATGTTATAACCCTACCTCTCCACCAAAAGGAATAAAACTCATTCCAGGGCATTTCATTACAGATTAGTAAATGTTAAGATGAGACACATGTAACAAATTCAACTTCTTGGCCCACCCATGAAATCTTTACAATCGTGAACCCCTATATTACTTGAACAACAACAGAATTCACTCTTAATTAAATATATTTACATAAACAAGTAAGACTTCTTTACACCATTGACAAGGTATATGCCATTTCATTATCCATACCCTTGATACGGGCTAACTTAACATTAAAATGTTGAGGTGACAAACTCCACCAGAACAACAGTGGTGTTTTATGTTTAAGACTCCCATTAAAAATTAATGATTGTGGTCTGTAAACACAGAGGTCTCTCAACCTCCGTGATGCTTATACACCTCAGAGTGCTGAAGGGCCTCTAATATCGTAATATCAGTACTTCCTTCTCAATGGTGGAGTATTTTCTTTTGATGTCGATCTAGCTTTTCGAAAAGTAGCCCACTTTTCTTGATGCTTCTTGATGCCTCTGAAGTCATCCTGTATTAGAATTGCTGCAATACCTACATCGCTGTCATCCAGTGCCAACTTAAAAGTTTGGTAAAATCGGGAGCTTTAAATGTGGGCTCATTTAGCAATTATAGCTTTTATGTTTTCAAAGGCTGCCTGGCATCCTGTGCTCCATGTTATCTTTACCTGCTTTTGCAGCAAATCTGTAAGGAATACAGCTACCATACTAAAATTTGGTACGAGCTTCCAGTAAAACCCTCATGTCCCCAGAAACCTCAATGTCCCGTTTTGTCTGTGAGACAGAAAAGTTATCAAGGTTCTAACAGTTGTTGTTTGTGACACCACCTGCCCTTGACTAACAGCGAATGTAATTTACCATTGCCCTCGCAAATTCGCACTTTTGCGAGTTTTACTGCTAGACCTGCTGTCTGAACAGGATCCCCAATTGTTTATCGTATTCCTCCCCATGTGACTTAATACTGTTCCAGGGACCAGACAGCCATCCCTCCCTATCACACTCCACCCAAAACCCCCAACAGCTGAAAATCTCCACTACTGTCGAACCTAATCCAGCACTGGATCCAACCCCACCTTTGCACCTAACATACCACCATGATCGGACTTGAACCCTACTCTCCGTACCACAAGACCTGACCATCAATTCCCCTCTGCCTACTGAACTGGACTCAAACTGACCCATCCCTGCTGCTATACCCAATTTCTCCATACCACCTCAACCTACCCTAAACACTAATCTACCACCTTGCACAGTACCCCCACACCAACTGGCACCCCATTTACCTGACTCCCTACCCAATTTGGCATTCATCCCTCCCAGCACCCTAACCTCTCACTAACCTTTATATACTTGTCCATTGACAGCTGCTGTCAAAGTGGCTGTCCGGACCTTTAAATTTGAGATTACGGCGGCTGACTGCTGTGAAAAAGGAGAATAGTTTGCCTTCCTCTAACAGTTCTACACTATAAAAGAGCATATTTCTAAGGAAGGCCTAAGTAAAATCTCCTCTTCAAAATGCAGGTGCTTTAAAAAAAATGTCACTCACCAGAAAATCTGCCTCAAGGTCTCTTACAGTAGTAACTGCTCTAAATCTGCGTGTCATTGCAATGACTTTCGCCTTTTTCTTCTGCCCGTTTACTTTTTTGGCAGTTAGGTCTAATGGAATGTTTGTAATGCCTTCTTCCAAGAAAGGGAATATGGACATAACACAAACTGAAATACAGTGACCTCAGATTTTATTTATGCTTCATTCATGGGTCACCACAAGCTACCCAGACAGTAAATAAAAGCCCACTCCAGTTTACAGTGCAAAACTGTCAGCATGAATGTTTTGAAATTATAAATTTACAATTTATCTTGAATAAATCCTACAAAAGCAAAATAACTTACTAAATTTCAAATCCAGTCATTGTTTCTTCCCTGTCCGTCAAGAATAATGTCAATTGGCATAATCCAAAGAAAAACATTTAATAGTCTACTAATTACTGTCAGGAAAAATTAATTAACTTTTTCTCAAGCACGTAATTAATAGCAAAAATGCGAAAACATGTTTTGAATGTACAGAGATAACAAGGTGTACAGCTGGATGAACACAGCAGGACAAGCAGCATCAGAGGAGCAGGAAAGCTGACGTTTCGGGTCTAGGCCTTTCTTCAGAAAAAGAAAAAGACCCTTCTGCTCCTGTGATGTTGCTTGGCCTGCTGTGTTCATCCAGCTCTACACCTTGTTATGTCAAATTCTCCAGCATCTGCAGTTCCTACTATTTTTGAATGTACATTTTTTTTTTATTTTTAGAATGCTGGAACCATGTTTCATTATCTTGTCTGAATTCAAGAATAAGCCAGCTACCAATTTGGCTCATCTGATGGCTGTTTAAACTCCCAATCTTCTTTCATAATATTAACCTTCACATTCCTCATTTCACTCAGGCCTGGCATTATTTAATCAGCACTTTTCTGATTCAACTCCCTATTTGTTTCAAGTCTTTCAATTGTGCTGGATCATTCCACTGTTGACATTGATTTTCCACATTTTTTGCATTTGGAATATCTTTAAAATTTGTGAGACGTGTAGTCAATGGCACAAGGTGGTAACAATTCAGAAATTGTTTCCTTCAAAAGAGAAATGCAGCAAGTGCATGAGAATACAACCTGCTAGATCGCCTCAAAGTCTGATTTCATCCTGACCTGGAGATGTATTGCTGTTACTTTACTATTGCTGTGTTAATATCCGAGAACTCTCTCCCTAACAGCACAATTGTTCAACCTTCTGTCACATAAATCTGCATTTGCTATAGATGGAGTCAGTGGGCTGAGAAGGTGCACAATTCACTTTCTAACAGCACAGTGGTGTACCTACCCTAGAAGGGTAGCAGCAGTTCAACAAAATGGCTCACTGTCATCTTCGCAAAGGCGATTATTGGGGGGAGGGTGCGCAATAATTGCTGGCTTTACCAGTAATTTCCCCATCCCATGGATTAATTAAAAATACATCAAAATTGCTTAATTAAAAATGCTTATGGATATTTTATTGAATTGTTTAAAACCTATTTCATTGCATAATCAACCTAGTTACCTGATCAATTTAAAAACACCTGCAAGATATCTTTAATGAATCTATTCAGATGCGTTATTATACATGTCTGAAACAGCTGGGACTTGAACCAGGGCCTTCTGGCTCAATGATAGGGACAATACCATTATGTTCTAAGACCTCTTAAGAAATATCTTGGATACATGCTGAAAATCTATATGATAGGCACAATTCTGCTGTAAATCCTAAATTTTATATTTGGCCTCATTAATAACTTTAGTATTTGCACTATATTTTTAAATGTTCTAGATAATCAGATATGGATATAGCAAATATTGCTCCAAGGAAGGTTTTCAGAGCTAAGAAAACACTTCGAGTAAGTGACCGCAAGCAGTGGGAAGCATTAATCAGAATCAGACCTCCGAATGGCAGCAAACAGCCCTTTAGAGATTGTGATCATCTGAAAAGCCATTTGAAGGGCACTGATGCAGAAGATGTCAGTAAACACAATGAACATTTTATTTCAAACTGTCCAAAAAATGATATTTCAAAACCAGAACTGAACCAGAGTTTAACATTTCATTGCAAAAATGACGTCGTCAAGGCCAAATTCAAACATTTATCTGACATCTGTGTAACAGAAAACCAACTGGAGAATGCCAGATTAAAAAGTCAGGAAGATATACAATCCAATGATCATCCATATCCTCAGCAAAAAGAACATCAGAATATTGGTTCACTCAGAAAGCCTCTAAAATCATCCTCTGAAACTATTGACCAAAACTTAACTGCTACAAATGGTAGCGTCATTTCCTGCTCCACATCTGCATTAAAAGAAGACTTCAGCAGAACTTCTAAAACCCATTCAATGAAAATTCCTGCACCGCTGGACCAGAAGAACTGTGTGACTTCCATCAGTGTTGATAAGAAGTGGAATATTGAGCCCGTCCTTCACGTTATCGGTGTTGAAGATCTTAAATTTGTTTCTTCAGATGTTCATGATAAGACAAGTAATCTAAAGAAAATAAACCATTCTATTAGTCCTATTTCAGAAAAGATGTCCAGTGAAGTTCATCAGAACCTGATGTGTAATGTGCATTTGTCAGCCCTACATATTTCTCACAATGTAACTGAAAAGGTTAAAGGAAGTGTACTAAATGAAAGACAAAAACCTTCTGTTTCAAAATACCTTCATGTAGAAGATCAATCCCAGATAGATGAGTCTAAATTACTGATTGATTACCAAGAGCAGATTGAATGCAATGCAATTATACTGATGGACAAGAAAAGCTCTGGTGAGTAAGTTAAAATTTTATAGTTTGTGCCAGTGAAGTTGTAACTGAATGCTGCCCAAACTAATACGGTGTGAAGCTGAGGGGGAAGTGATGGGTGTTGAGTGTTAACCTCTCAAGCCTAGTTGTTGTTTAGGTTTTTCAATTAACTAAAAATGACTTTTCAAGTTAAGAGGTAAGTTTTATGTTCCTCCAGGAGGAGGGGGTGTGTTGGGGGCGGGAGAAGGGGTCAGTGGAGGGAGGGTTAGCCTCACGGTTAAAGAAGTAAGCGCAGAGGCGGAGGCGGCGGAAAAACTGTTCAACGTCCAAGCATGAGTGGTATTCATTGATGTTAGGGTGGAGGGGGCCAAAGGTGAGCCCTTTACTGAGGACTGACCGTTCGTCCTCAGTAAGGGGGAGGTCTGGGGGGATGGTGAAGACTCGGCAGGGGAGGGTGCTACTGTCTCCTCTGGAGCTGCTGGCTGTGGAGGCAGTGGGCGGAGCGACATCAGCGGTGGGCGGAGCGACGTCAGCATCAGTGGGCAGAGTGACGTCGGCGTCAGTGGTTGCCACCCGAAGGTTGCAGGAACAGCACCTCATATTTCACTTGGGAACCCTGCAGCCCAATGGTATCAATGTGGACTTCACAAGCTTCAAAATCTCCCCTTCCCCAACTGCATCCCAAAGCCAGCCCAGCTTGTCCCTGCCTCTCTAACCTGTCCTTTCTCCCACCTATCCCCTCCTCCCACCTCAAGCCCCATCCCCATCTCCTACTTACTAGCCTCATCCCCGTCTCCTTGACCTGTCCATCCTCCCTGGACTGACCTATCCTCTCCCTGATTCCCCACCTACACTCACCCTTACTGGCTCCATCCCCGTCTCCTTGACCTGTCCATCTCCTCTCCACCTATCTTCTCCTTTATCCATCTTCTATCTGCCTCCCCCTCTCTCCCTATTTATTTCAGAACCCCCTTCCCCTCCCCCATTTCTGAAGAAGGATCTAGGCCCGAAACGTCAGCTTTCCTGCTCCTCTGATGCTGCTTTGCCTGCTGTGTTCATCCAGCTCTACACCTTGTTATCTCTAAACCTAATTAGTACTAATGTTGAGGAAAACAAACTCTTGAAATGTGTGAAAGATGGTTCCTCAACATGATGCTCGAGAAAACCAAATCGAGGATAGGCTATGTTGAATCTAGTGCTATGCAAAGAATAAGTGCTAATTAATAATTTTGTAAATGAACATCTTGGGAAAGTGTGACCATAATATGATAGTTTTACATTTAAGTTTGAAAATTATATAAATCAATCAGAAACCATGGTCTTAAATCCAAACAATGGAAAAAAAGAGGGCAAGTCAGCATACTTGATAGAGTAGTTTGTCATTGGTTACAATTAAAATGTAGTTTATGACAAAAATACGTTCATTTAATGACACAAAACCAAGCAAGACAAGTGCAGCACGAACCTGATGGAAGAGTGTGCCAAAAATAAAATCCTACAATTCCACCAGTCATCACCTTAAGTGTAAATGACCAATTTAATCATCAAGGTGATTAATATTTCTAATTTTGACCACTATCTACCTTGTTCACGTCCTGCACTCAGTAATGTTTACCATCAGTCTCATAGTTGTTAAAGACACAATTTTATCTGAAGTATTTTTCTTTTGTATTCCTTTTTTGGAATCATTATCATAAACCCCATTAAGTCCACTGGTGTCCCATGAAATTTCTAATATTCTGAATAAAGGTGCCCCACCTTGTTGCAATGGAAACATTTGGCTGACAATTTTCACTTCCATGTTTGACATCTTCCTTTTTGGTTTCAGTGCATTTCTTTCACCTGACTGTTTGCCCTCCTTTCACTCTCTCACCTTATGTTTTTTTTGGTTTATGTGGATGACAGAAAAGATGTTTAGTGTTATACATCAGCACACAATCATCAAGCATTCCTGATGCTGATTTAGAGTTTCGACCCTTTATCTTCAACGTGCATTCTAATTATTAAAGGTAAAGGTTTTATTAAAATGTTTAAATTCTTCGAAGAGAATAATTTATCTGAGATCTTCATACATGGCATTTACTCCTGATGCCTGTGTCCACCAGTGAAGCAGAAAGATTCTTCTCCCTCCCCAGACCCGCAATGATCAGACAAAATTCTAGTTCCTATGTTCACTGGTTTTATTCAAGCATATGCAAGGGAAGCGCACACTTTTGAAGCTAGTACACATTTCCACTAATCGACTACACACGGTTACAGATGTACTATTTCCAGCATACCAGGTCTTGTACAGTTATCTAATTACATGATTCTACACACACTGCCTCGTTATACTGCCCAATTGCAATTTGTTTAACCTACACCATTCCAGCACTACTAATGCCATATATGGTATTAGTTATATTTTTGCAGTATCTCTTAAATCTCTTGGCACGAGCTAGATATTGACAGTCTTAACTAGTTCTAGCAACTTGTATTTGAACTGTTCCAGAAGCTTGCTATATTTACCCTTTCAGTTTCCCATTTTGACCATTGGCAAAGCCCAAGTTATTTAAAAATCCTTCTTATATATCAATTGCCAATAAGATATATTTCTGGTCTCTTCACACCAAAACTTTTTCTGTGACTATCCAGGAAGCATAGTTATTAATGGCAAACAAATTCTATAAGATCAGGGCTAAATTGGCAGTAATAAAGGATCTGTTGATATCTATGATTAGACTTCTCCTTCTATGTCTAATTTTCTAGCTTTTTCTTTTCTGTTGGTACAATTCTAAACTTAAAGCTTCTAGTGATTCGTCTTGGCTGTTGCGTGACCCAGTATATGGCGCTTTGATCATTACAGGCTGTCAATCCTGAATCATCATGTTACTTGAAGAATGACCATGGTAATAGTAGCTTGGGCTCCCCTATCCTAACCATTCCGTTTGGTGGGTTTACAGTTGTTGAGCACAGTATGGTGTTCTGATATCTGCAAGTACTGAGATAATAACATCATATAGCTTTACAATAATGTTTGTCTATTGCATATTTAGATGATTCTTTGCAATGCTATCCATCCACATATTGGATTAATAAACCTAGCTGGTAAGCCAGGTTTAGTAAGTGTAAAATTCATTGGTCATGTTATTTTTCTGATGACTCATGGGAATCACTTTTTCCAATATCCAAGTATTTAGTTTCTTGATCCACTGCAGTTCCTCCTCTTGGCAGTTGGACATACTACCCCAGGCCTTCGTGTGTTGCTCACCTTTTCCAATCTAATCACTCTCATTTGGTGCTCCATGAAGCGTCATAGCTTGGGAATATCCCCTTCACATATGGATCTTTACTGCAGCTACAAATGCACCTCCTTCATGATTGGTCATATCCTTCATGGCCTTATCAATCTGGCTATTTCCCAATTGTTCCAGTGTGTCTATTTAAATATTCACTTTCTTGTCTTCTGCAATTTTTAAAGCCTTATCTAGTGCTGTAGGTTCTATCACTGAGCTGAATTTTTCCCAGACGGGCACCCTGGGCTACAGTTGTTCCTCCATTCTCTACTGTTGCCCAGCCAGTATGATGTTTTCCTTTCACTATTCTCCAAGATCCATTTACACACAACGTCAGATCAGCCTCCACGAAGGTTTCTCCCTGATTGGCCCTTCAAGATACGTAAAATGTGCTATTATCTCTGATTATAGTATTTGGCTACAGAGGTACCTTATTGAAAGTCTTTTGGAAATCCAAGTGTGTTACATCTTCTGGTTTCCCTTTATCTATCCTGCTTGTTACCACCTTGAAGAATTTTAATAAAATTGTCAGGCATGATTTCCACTTTATGATGCCATGTTAAATTAAATTATGTATTTCAAAATACCCTACTATTACGTCATTTATAATGGACTCTGACATTTTCCTAATGACAGATGTTAAGCTAACTGCCCTATAATTATGTTTTGTCACTGTCTTTTTGATTTAAAGAGATTCCATTGGTAGATTTCTGCTCATCCAGAACTCTTCCAGAATCTAAGTATTCGTGAAAGATTGCTACCGGTGCATGCACTATCTCTTTAGCAACTTCCTTTAAAATCCTATATTGAAACCCATCAAATCTAGGGTACTTTACAGCCTTTGGTCCATTAGTTTCCATAGCTACTTTTTCCTCCAGTGATAGTGTGTTGATTCTTTACGCCCCCACCCACCCCCTTATCCTCCTGATTATTGAGTATTTTTGGAATGCTATTAGTGTTCTCTACCATGAAGCCTGATGTAAAATATTTATTTAACTCCACTACCATTTTCTGGCTCCCCAACAATATTTTGTTTTCCTCCATCGTTTATTTTCATAGAGTCACGTAACACAGAAATAGGCCCTTTGCCCCACCATGTCTGTGTCAACCAAACAAAAACAAACTATACTAATCCCATTTCCTGCACTTGGTCCATAGTGCCATGGCATTTTAAGTGCTTGACCAGGTGCTTCTTAAATGTTACCAGAGTAACTGCCTCCACCACTCTCTCAAGCAGCGTGTTCCATATTTTTGCCACCATCTGGGTGAAAAAAATGTTTCCTCGGATCCCCTGTAAACCACATACTCTTCACCTTTAAACTCATGTCCTCTAGTCTTAGTCATATCTGCCATGGGGTAAAGATTCTTATGATCAATTCTGTCTATGGCTCTCATGATTTGTATACCTCAATGAGATCACCCCTCAGCCTTCTCTGCTCCAGGGAAAACAAACCCAGCCTATCCGGTCTCTTCTCATAACTGAGACTTCTCCATTCCAGACAATATCCTGGTGAATCTCTGCTGCACCATCTCCAATGCAATGTCCTTCCAATTGTGTGGCAATTAGAACTGCAGGTGATATTCCACCTGTGAGCTAACTAATGCTCTATAAAGTTGTAATGAGATTTCCTTCCTCCAATATTCTATGCCACAGCTAATGAAGGCAAGCATCCCGTTTGCTGCCTTCACCACCCTGTCTGCTTGTGCTAACACCTTCGGGAATCTGTGGACTTGTACACCAAGGTCCCTTTGTTCCTCAGTACTCCCTTGGGACCAAGTATTCATTGGGTAAAACCTTTCCTTATTAGACCTCCCAAAATGTGCCATCTCAGACTTAAAAAGATTAAATTCCATCTGTCATTGCTCTGCCCAATTTAGCAGCCGATCAGTATCAGACTGTAGACCGAGACCATCCTCCTCACTATCAACACCACCAACAATTTTCATGTCATCAGCAAATTTACTAATTATACCTAGTACATTCATATCCAAGTCATTAATGTACATTACAAACAAGAAGGGTCCCAGCGGTGACCCTTGTAGTTTACCGCTGTTCATAGGCTTCCAATCACAAAATCAACCCTCCACCATCACCCTTTGCCTCCTATTTGCAAGACAGGTTTGGATCCAGTTTGCCAACTTGCATTTGATCTCTTTGGCTCTTAACTTTTCGACAAGCCTTCCACGTGGGACCTTGTCAAAGGCCGAACTGAAGTCCATGTAAACCACATCAACTGCACTACTCTCATCAATATATTTAGTCACCTTTTCAAAAAACTAAATTAAATTAGTCAGACAGAATCTCCCTCTCACAAATCCATGCTGACTATCCCTGATCAATTTTTGCCTTTCCAAGTATTGATTAATCCTGTCCTTCAGAACTTTTTTCCAATAATTTCCCTACCATTGATGTCAGGTTAATTACTTTGTGATCTCCTGCTGCCCGTCTTGAAGAAGGAACCAATTAGCTTTCCTCCAGTCATCTGGTACTTCATCTGTGGCCAGCAAAGTATTACATATCTCTGCCAGGGCCCAGCGATCTCATCCCTTGCTTCCCACAGCAGCTGGAATACATCTTATCAGGCCCTCACGATTTATGCACCTTTATGTCCTCTAAAATATCTAATACCTCCTCCTTATTAATCTTAACATGCACTAGAAGCTCACTATCCCAACTGAAGTCTCCAGCTGCAATGTATTTCTTCTTTGTGAATACAAATGAGAAATATTCATTTAAGACCTTACCCATGTCTTCTAGCTCCACTCATAGATTTCCCCTTTGTTCTGTAACAGGCCCGATCTTTCCCTGCTAATGCTCTAGCTCTTAATATGCTTACAAAACGCCTTGGAGTTTTCCTTATTCCTATCTGCCAAAGGTATTTCATTGCCCCTGTTTGCCCTTCTGATTTTTTTTTCATATATTTCTGAAGGGCCTCCCCCTGTTTTTAATACACTGTACCTAACAAGTTCCTACTACTTTTTCTTTATCAAACTCTCGATTATCCCTTGACATCTAGGGTTCTCTGGACTTCTGTTCTTGCTTTTCACTGTTAGAGGAAAACAATGTCCCTGAATTCTCTCTATATTACACTATCCCACTTTCGAAATGTAAATTTACCTTCAAGTAGCTGCTCCCAGTCTATGTTTGCCAGATCCTGTCTAATGATATTGAAATTGGCCTTCCCCCAATTTAGACATTTAACTCCTGCACTATCATTATCTCTTTCCATGATGACTTTGAAATTTAGAGTTATGGTCACTATCCCCAAAATGCCCACTTACACTTCAACCACTTGACCAGCTTCATTCCCAGTGATATAACAGCATGCTTAGTACACAAACAGTTTGAGTTTAGTTAGCACTGCTACCTCACAGCGCCAGGGTTTGTTTCCAGCCTTGGGCAACTGTCTGTGTGGAGTTTGCACATTCTCCCTGTGTCCGTGAGGGTTTCCACTGGGTGCTCTGGTTTCCCCCAAAGATGTGCAGGTTATGTGGATTGGCCACACTAAACTGACCATAGGGTCCAGGGATGTTCAGGATAGGTGGATTAGCCAAGGGAAAATGGAGTTACAGAGATAAGGTAGGGCAGAGAGCATCTGCATGGTTCGGAGCAGTAGTGTGACTCGATGGGCTGAATGGCCTGCTTCCACATTGTAGGGATTCTATGATTGTATTCTATGAAATTGATTAGTTAAGACAGAAATAGCTTCTTGATGGTACAGAACCTGAGTATTGCTGCGGAAAAAGCACATCTTGCACTAATTAGGGCAATTCACAAGAATTACCCATGTAAAGGGAAAACAACATTTATGCTTTATGAGAGGATAATGCTGAATGGTCAGCAAGTGGTTTTTCTGTCTGAATACACAGATCTCTATAAATACAAGTTACTCTCATTAGGTGCAAATTCACCATGGTACAAACCTGACTGACAATCCAAAACTGGTTGCCAGTTTACTTATTTACATACACAGGATTGTTGACCAAATAAAAACAGAAAGAACTGCGGATGCTGTAAACCAGGAACAAAAACAAAGTTGCTGGAAAAGCTCAGCAGGTTTGGCAGCATCTGTGAAGGAAAAAAATCAGAGTTAACGTTTTGGGTCTGGTTCATCGGACCCAAAACGTTAACTCTGTTTTTTCCTTCACAGATGCTGCCAGACCTGTTGAGCTTTTCCAGCAACTTCGTTTTTGTTGACCAAATGTTGTCCAATTATGAAAACTTATCTAATGTTGGACACCATTTTACAATTTGCAAGCGTGGGTTTGTGAGACACAGTCAGCCCCATGCCAAAGGGATATGTTGTCTGAAATGCTAGTGGATCATAATCAGACATGTAATCTACATGTATAACATCACACTGGCATTGAAATCCGTACATCACATTACTCATTTGTTTGATCGGCAAAATGCTGGTCTTTTGGATTGGTATTAGAATCTTGTTAATGGTAAACACTACTCATATTGCTACTGCTGAACAGCAGGAAATAGTTTCACATGTTGCTGAAATGTTTGAGAGATATTAGCCTGAAGTGATAGAGTCATAGAGATGTATAGCACAGGAACAGAGCCTTCAGTCTGACTCATCCATGCCAAGCAGATATCCTAATCAAGTCCCATTTGCCAATATTTGGCTCATATCCTTCTAAACCATTCCTATTCATATACCCATCCAGATGCCTTTTAAATTTTGTAATTGTACCAGCCTCCTCTGGCAGGTCATTCCATACATGCACCACCCTCTGCAAGAAAACATTGCCCCTTAAGTCCCATTTAAATCTTTCCCCTTTAACCTTAAACCTATGCCCTCTAGTTTTGGATGCCCCTATCCTATCTATGCCCCTCATGACCTTATAAACTTCTAAAAGGTCACCCCTCAGCCTCTGACACTCCAGGGAAAAGAGCCCCAATCTATTCAGCCTCTTTCTTTAGCTCAAATCCTGCAACCCTGGCAACATCTTTGTAAATCTTTCCTGAACCCTTTCGACCTTCACAACATCTTTTCTATAGGAGGGAGACCAGAATTGAATGCAGTGTTCCAAAAGTGGCCTAACCAATGTCCTGTAAAGCCGCAACATGACGTCCCAACTCCTATAATCAATGCACTGACCAATAAAGGACAAGCATACCATATGCCTTCTTCACCACCCTATCTACCTGCGACTCCACATTCAAGGAACTATGAACCTGCATTCCAAGGTCTCTTTGTTCGGCAACGCTCCCCAGGACCTTACCATTAAGCGTATAAGTCCTGCCCTAGTTTGGCAACCAGTCTTCTCTCTAAAGGAGCTGTTTTTTGTTTTCCCTTTAAATTGGTGTTATTTGTGAATTGTCTTTAAGTATATTATGATAACTTTTCAAATAAATGTCTTTTTAAGCAATGTTTAAAATATCCTAATAATTTAGCAGCTTGGATGCTCCAGATAGGTGACCAAGAAAAACCAACTAAATAAAAAAAATCAATTAATTAATTGACATTAGTTCCCCTTCTAATGAGGAAAACATTACATTTCAATAGATTATACATTTTTATAATTTGTATAATATTCTAATTTAAGTTTTAAGAAAAAGGACCCATTCAAGCGGTGAAGAAAGAAGTAGCAACAAGCGAGTTAAGACTTCAGAAGGTGACAAAAGTGACCATCTTAAATTAACTTCCAAAAGTCAAAGTGCAGAAACTACCAAGAAGAAGTGTTTGTATGAGGTGACTCTTGTTTTTATCTGCTTTGGAAATGGGGTAATACGAATTGGTTTGCATTTAAGGAAATACTGAGAAATAAAAATGATTGAATGGATAATGGATTTTTACAAGTATGCTTTAAAGAATACTTTAAGCCAATGATTTGATTCATTAGGTTTATAGGGGTCTGTTACATTTTAGCAAGCAATGTCTTCATTGTCTCAACTTTAACTGAAGAAAAATCAAAATGCTTTGCATTAAGAGTTTTTAAATTGGACTGCAGTGGTTGAAAAGTCTAGATTTTTAAATTTTAATCTAGAATGGTGTTGTGACCCTGGTTAATGTTACTTCAGTGATACAATTTTAGGAATGATTTTGCAAGTGTGCAATGATTCATTGATCATGATGTCCCAAAAAACACAATGAAACTGTTCACAAGGGATGTTGTAAAATTGTCCCATTTCTATTAACTCCTTTTACTTTGGCATCATACTGCTGTGATTATCTTCCCTGTTCTGTGGTAATAAACCAGATTACTGTCAGAGAGACGGTACAAGATTTTTTACTATAAGCCCCTGAATCCTGCCATCAGGCTGAGTTGGTCAGCAGGCTGGTGTGTATAGGGATCCCAGCAGTCACTTATGATTCTTCCATGAGAGATCGTTTAGTAGCTAGAGGATGAACTCCCTTTCCTTGGCTCTTGAAGCTGGAAGGCCAATCAGAGGTCTTCAAGCTTGAAAAGAACAGCAACTTGCAATAGACAATAAGTAAGGGATGGGGGACTTCAATATATACTTACGACCACCTACCTTTGGACTTCATAGTAAAGCCCCTACTGTGGAGGCGGAACTCCTCTGAAGGCTGACCTGCAGCATCCAGGTAGACCCAAAGAGTTCTTGAAGCTGCATAATGAAACTTGGATGAAAGCACAGTCTTTTGTAAAACGATTATTGCTGAGAGATTTTATTTGCAGAGAAGTTTTGACTTGCTTAATTTTTTAAGAGAGGTTTTGTCAATGTGTCTGTTTATTTGCACAAAATTAGAAGATGCCACGTCCATTAAAGCTTCTGTTATTAATATTTCAATGGTCTGTTTGATGCTTTTTAGAATTGTAAGAACCCAAATTATTAAAAAATTATTTTCTAAGCAGTTCATGTGTCATTGTTACTGTCGGATTTATTGGTTCTTGTATGCAGTATATATAGGGAGAATGGGTATGGGACAGCTGACGTGGAACGTTTGGGGCTACCATTGAATAGGGGGCATTTTCTGGGCAGAGGGACTAAAATGGGCAATGGAGGTAGGTAGGTGGGGAATAAAGAATGAGAGGTGAGGGCTAATATGTAACCAAATAATTAGTATGATGTCCTAGAGAGCCAAGGCAGAGCTTTTAACTAGATTGTCTAGACTGTTCCATTGTCGTTAGTTATTTTCTGGGATTACAGTTCAGACTGCATCCTACCCTACCTCCTTGGAATGAAATAACACATTGTAATAGAATCCATTTTTTTCCCTCCATTGTGCCTTGTAAGGTGGCAGTTTGTAACATCATTTAATCCTGCCTAGGAACAAGGACAAGGCTTGGGTGCCTCAAATCAGTTTAAGCGTCAGTAAGCAATTGTCAGCTCAAGTCAGTTTGTCAGTGAGATTCCAGGAACGTGATTCCATATACCTACATTTGGGTTAAAGGATGACCCACAGGCTTGTGGGCTTGGAGCAGTTAGAAAGCTAGAATTGTACTAGTGATTAGATGCTGGAGTGCAACCTTGTGAAGTCAGTGGGATATAATCTTGTGAGAAAAGATTGCGTGGTTGGGAGATGATCAGTTCTTGGCAGCAGATGGCTGAGGAACTGGGACTGCACCTGATGCTGTTGCATAGCCTGAGAAAACTAAGAAGGATGGGTCTGGGAGCTCAGGAAAATTCAACTGCAGCAGAAGCTCCGTGAGGCTGAACTGTCAGATTAAAAATCAAAAATTGTGCTGCTAACTAGGTAATTGTGAACAGTCTCTGGAATTCTAGGGACTCCATCTCAGGAAAAGAGATTGAACTAAGAGGAGATGAGCAGTCTTTGAGACTGTACAAGTTAAAGCAACTTTTGAGTCAGTTCAGAGTCTAGATCTTTCAGAAACTAGTGAAGATCCTTCATGAAGGCTATCAAATCTTTTAATGAGATTTGGTGACCCATTGTTCCTAAAGTTTGTACAAGTTACTGAGAAAGCTGTTAACTTTATCTGCGACTTGAGTACTGCTGTGGGTGTCTAATCACAGATTGTATGTAAACACAAATTTACCTTTTTTGTTAATTCTAGATATTAGAGTATTAGTTATATATTGTGTGGTTGTTTGTTTTACTTTTCCAACTGTTTGTATAGTAAATTTTGTTTGTCTAACATTTTGGAATCCTGTGGCTTACTAAGTACCTTGTTTGCTTTAAACACAAAATTTATTGGTCTCTATAAACAGATTGCAACATAAATTTAGCTGTCTCATCTGGGATCGTATCAAAGTAAAAGAACATTTCTGCTGAGACACGTTTGTTATCTACCAAAAATCTCACCACAATGTCTGAAATACTGACCAAATTGATCACTACCAAATTAGATTTCATAAATACTTAACTGTTGTTTCCATAATCAGATGCTACAGACAATTTTGGATGGATGAGAGAGAAATTAATAATATTCCTATATTACGCAGTGCTTCAAGAGAATTTCTCTGGCTTCAAATGATGCCAGTTCATTTGAAAGTGGGAACAGAACTGTTAAAACAGCAACACCAGACCATGCCTACAGTGGATAATTAACAGTGCTTAATATAGGCACGTGTATATATATTAAGCTTTGAACTTTTGCTTTGACTTGCAAATCACAGATTCATCCAGCATCTGCAGTTCCTACTATCACAGATTCATTCCAGTTTATCTTGTCAGATCCAGAAATTGATTCACCAAAAGATTGCCACTGAACTTAGAAGTGATGATTTGGACAACAAACTTGAAGAGTTAACAAAAAGAATTGAAAATATTGAGTGTAGACAAAATCATGAAGAGCTGGCTAAAACTATTCAAGTAAGTTTTTAAACAACTACCTTGTATTTATTTAGAATCTTTTATCGGAATAAAACAAGATATCTCACTAGATTTTTAACTAGGAAAATTTGACACTGAGCCATGTAAGCAGATATTGAATCAAATGACAAAGGTTAGCCACAAGGGGTTTTAAAGAGTGCATTAAAGTAGTTAAGCAAGGAAGAGGGGAGGAGATTTATGGAGGGAATTTCAGAGCTTGCAGATTGACAGCTGAAGGCACAGTTACCAATTAAGCAATTAATGCAGCAATCAAAATTGGAGATGTTCAAGAGGCGAGAATTGGAGGAATTCACCTTGGCAAGTTGAAGGGCTGGGATCAGCAGCAGATTAGCTGTGTTGTGAAAATAGCAATAGTCAGTCTTAAGGATGCCATGAATATGTGGTTGGAAGCCGATCACAAGGTCAGATGTGCTGCAAAGTTTGCAAACAGCCTGCTTTGGCTTGAGGCAAAAAGAGGATTATTAATTGGTTCAACTTCAGAAATTGCTGGAGAGAGAAATTCTAGGGAACACAGTCCATTGGAGGAATCAATACTGGCTCTTAATGCACTACATTAAAGTCAGAAAAAATTATTGATACATTGCTTTAGAAAAATCATTCAGAGGAAAGACGTGCAATAAATCATGCCAATAGTCTATTTTAAAAATCATGTTTTTTATTTTGTGAAAGTAGGCAGTTGTTTGCCTTTCGATCCAACCCAGGCAAAAGAATAAGACTTCCCTTCATAGCTCAGTTGTACGCTGGACAATTACTATTTGGGTGCTAGTAGTAGTCATAGCAGTTGTAGTGTTTGTTCAGTGGTACATGAGAAATATGACAAACTTAAATTGAAACTATAGATGAAGGAGATCATTTTCTGCACCTGGAAATTTTAGATACAAATTCAGTCTTTGATCACTGAAGAAATTTCATTTTGTTTTTGTTAGATTTGTACCTTTATTACTTATTTTTCAAGAAACATTTCTATCTTATCTTCTGGGATTTTGACTTCGTGCCATCGTCTGTGTTTTAAAACAAGTATTAAGAAATGTAAATTGCTAAGATAAAAACTAATTATTAACAATTCATTTTTGCACACAGATTAGAATAAAACGATTGGAAAGAAAAGTAAAAGCTGCTTTGAAAACTGTAAATATGCAATCGCGTAGAAAAACACTAGAGGAGGTAAAAAGTTCATCCGATGCTCTAATATAGCCAACCAAATTTTGCATTCGTTTTTTTAATCAACATTTTACACAAAATTATTTATCAGAAAACAGAGTGTAATAAATTTACTTCAAATTAGGAGTGTTAAGGATTTCTTTCTGTTTTATCCTTCATTACTTATTCAGAGCAATTCAACATCATTTTCTCTAAAACAACCTGATGTGCAACCTGTGCCACAACATGCTACCACTGGAGAAAATTCAACCAATACATTGAAGCCTGGGTCAGTTGCAGAACATATGGACATATCTGCTACACCTGCCACTGTACCAGACCGATCCTCTCAAACATTGACTTACAAGAAACTTCCAGATTCTTCCAACTATGAATTGAGCTTTCAGTTACCTGAAAGGTATTGTTGAACTTAAGTGTAAAAATTGGTTTATGGTAGAATTGCAATGTTTAATATATTTAGAAATTTTTTGCTAAGGCATATGGTTTTCTAATTCTCATAACTGTATGGGAATAATTATAGTTGTAATATTGTGTTCAAAAATTCAAGTTTGTGATGCTTTATACTGACTCTGTCCTCTGATTTAGCAATATGCCAGTGCTTTTGTTCTATAAATTCTTGAGTTTCTGCTGTTGATGCCAAGACTTTGTTGCCAACAACCAAACTTATCATGCAAGAAAATGCTTTTTGGAGTCTCTGTTTTTCAATCATTTACCTTAGTTACCTTAGTTATTTATGAAAAGTAAACTTATTCAATTTCAGTTTGTAATGGCATTGGGAGTTGAAACCCCAAAGATGTTATTGATTATTTGTTGATGTGAACAAAGAGCTGCAAAAAAGATGTAGGTACCTATACCAGGCTTACTTTCCCAATGCTCAAGGCTTTTTTCTGTGACACTTAATTTCTCGGGCTTTGTGTTTTATTTAGGTGAAGCCCCTAATTTTAGTTATTCCTCTGCTTGGCAGTAAATACTGCAGAAAAAAAGGCAAGAATAATGAATGACATTGAAATGATGAGTGGAGATAAGTAAAGATTATGCATATAGTGTACATGCTGAAATTTGAAGAAAATGTAGGATAGAATGATTATGATTAATGGAAGGACAAACATGCAGAACGTGAAATGAGAGGGGAAGGATTGATGAATTTACAGGTTCAAGAATATGAGAGAATACAATAATTATCTGTCATGCAATGAAATAAGTGATGTTGCAGAGTGCTTTTGTGAATATTTGCCAAAGAATATGATGAAGGGGATTCAGAGTATTAGCAGCAAGGGTGGGGTCAAAGTAGTGTTATTGGGAGAGAAAGGTGTACTTATACTAATTGCATTTTGAGGTCTTTGAAATCACTACATTGGTCCGAGCATTAGTCAGCTGATTCTGCCGATGCCTGCTGAATAGTTACCCAAGGCATGGTCCTGTGGGTGATGGGCAACAGTACTGCCTTTCTCATCGTGACTTCCATTAGACCTTCAAGAAGATGTACTAAAATTGCTGAGCATCCCTGAAAGTGATTGCTGCTGCAGTAGCTGTGCCCATATCATTCCGGTGAAATCTTTCAGAAGGTATTGTGACTTTGCTTTAAAAAACTACTTTAGATGGTCTGGGTGGCCTGTTGAAAAATTACATGGTGAAATTATATGTAATGCCAATTTCCTAGTCCAATCAGTTAGGCAGCTTAGTATTCGTAAAATGTTGTGCAGGGTTTAAAATTGCACAAGCTTCACACTGATGTGGATCTGCTACTTTTCTTATCCACCTGACTCGCATTGCTAATGTTTGCAAACATTATATACAAAATGAATGTTCACTGAAAATGAATAAAAAGTTTACAGTACCCTTTTGTAGTGGTGTTGTATGATGCTATCTCAAAAAAGAATGCAAATTTCTTTGGTGACACTCTTCGAGCATTGTAACCTCAGCAGGAATTTGACAGTGTTATCCAGGTGTTACAGGGGAGAGAAAATATTCATTTTAAACTTGTTTTCTTATGTTATGGGACGTCGTGGTTTTTCAGTCGATATTTAGAGAAGTGACCCAATTATAAAGATCTTTTTGGATATTAATGAATCTTCTCCATTTGATTATACATTCTACCAATACATTACACCAATTCCAGAGCAATTTAAGCAGTCTTTATGCTGAATATTCTATTTTTTTCTATTTTATCCCCTTTTTCACAGTTCCACTTCACTTTCCAGTCTTACTACTTCTCTTTAAAAAGCCTTGTTCTGTCTTACCCATCTGAGCACTACACAATTTTTTTGAGAGATACACCTTCACTGCGCTTGGTCCCTGTGCACTAAGTGAATTTTATACTGCAGTGATTTCAGTCTTCATCATACTCACCTCTCCCTGACCTCATCAAAATTCTCCACCCACACCCTACAAACACGTTCCCTCTTAATAAATTCCCCTGAGCTGATTGTATTAACTTAAACTCCGGATCTGCATTCTGAGCCTCAATTAACAAACTAATATGCAATACCTTTTCTGTATTATTCTGATTCTGAAATGAACTTGTGGCTCTTGTTACACCTGCTTGTGGCAGTACTTTGACCACTGGTGATAGGACTTTGTTTAGCCATCGTTCTAGTCACCACACATGATGGAAAAATACCTGGAACTTCTTCCTGTAACAGTTCCATCTCATTAACTAGTATATGTAGAGAGAGATTATATGAGAGTGTCAGTTCCTGAAGTACTGTTGGATATTTAAATGCTTGAGAAGATTAAAAGTTGAAGCTTTCTGTCTTGCACGCCTCAAAACTAGAACATAAGAAACAGACTTGAATAAATGCATAATCTACACAGAATGAGAAGAGTGATAGATCTGTTGGGTCATAATTGACATGGAGATGCAGCAAGAACAGTAAACTGTCAATCTTAATTCTCAGATCAAGCAGCTAGATTCTGATCAGTCAAAGCATTGTCATGATGATGTGGCAGAATTTGGCTGTCTCCATGATCCTTCTTTTTTAAGTACGTGCAATATATGTACAAATTCCTTTTGCCTAATTTAGAAATATAGCTTCTAGCATGCATAAGTGCATCATGCTGTAGCTGATGATATATTGATTTCTGGTGTAATTCCTAGCACAGTCTGGATTATTTTTAAATGGTTTCCAGTAACAGAATCCTATCCAATGATGGATATTTTGAGGCTTGCTAGTATGTTTTTGCTGGTTGAGCATGAGCAGCCGGCTGCTGGCAACAAATGGTCAACAGGATATGTTGTTGAGATTTGGGACCATAACATTTGAAATGTTTACTATATTAAAGGCACTGTCAGTGCAAGCTGTTGGTGGGGATGTAGACTGTGGTGGATTTTATTTTAGTTCATTTGCTAAGTGCAACAGTAATAAAATCTGTATTGATGGATATCATAGCATTTGATTCAGAAATGATACAAAGGATGAACAAATTCCCATTGTATACAATTAAAGTATGGCCAATTTTACATTATTAAGCAATGAATTTTTAAAAGTTATATGAACTTGTTTTTTCTGATGTAATTCTACCCAGTGTTAATTCCAATATCTACAGAAAAAGCCTAGTTATTCTTATTACTGTTTATGGGACTAGGCTGGCAGAGAATGACCACTGCAATCATCTACATAAATCACTACTCTTCAAAAAGAAGTGATAACCTTCAAAATAAGGAATTATATATACCAGTATAATTTGCAATATTATCAAACAAATCGGAATTCAATCAATAAATCGTGTTTTTACGTATTTATTTACAGTTCAAAGACTACTTTTCTGCTGGGTGGTAGTCTCTAACTAAAGTCTCATACCAAATCATTTTGAACAAAGTGATACATCAGCCACAGTTGATTTAGATGTTGTCCTTTGCAGCATTTGTGTTCCTTTCAGAAAACCAAGTGAACGTCTGAACAACAAACTTTGGAACTGTAAGCTAACTCACTGATGTCTAAGCTCTACGATGATCTGTTTAGCTAGAAAACCAACTTGCATCTGACCAAATTATATAAAGGGATGCAATATTGTCATGTCTGTTTCATCAGTATGATACTGATTACCTAGCCCCAACACTTAAACGAATCAATTGCTATTACGTCTTGAAACATTGTCTATGTGCTGGAATTGGAAATATTTAGGCAGTATCTGTCTACTGATGTGTCACTGCATTTTACAGATGATTTTGTAGTTTTTAATCTTGCTGTAGTCCAGCAACTGGTGTTTCCTTCAAAGTGTATGCTGTATAGTCAGTAGTGCATATTGTGGTGGTGGTTTTGAGCATTTTCAGTTTGTAATTTTCGGTGAATTTTTTTCTTCACCAATTATATTATTATTGCCTTCTATGTGCTATTCCTTTCTTGGAAATGTATAGAATCCAGTTGACTTCAAGGATCTGCATGTAGAATAATCATCTAGAAGTAAAAATGAAAATTATACTATGTTTTGAACACTGTAGTGCAGATTCTATACGTAAGCTACTGCAGAATGTTTTGTTTTGAAAACATCTTAGTTTAATTCCAATTTTGATTCTATTCTGATTTTTAAAATAATGAAATTATATACTTAGGGTGGAATCTCATAGGTGTCTCAGCGATATAACCTGTGGTGAGATTTGTGACAGAATCAAGTGAGATGTCAAGCGAGGCTAATTTCTATGCCAGGAGCAACTTGCCCCATCCTTTACGCTTTCTCACTCGGCAAAGGTTGAAGGGGAATTAGTGCTTGCCAAATGCCTTGTTAACAATCCAACTTGCTTCATTGATATTAATCTTTTTCTGTTGCCAAACGCACCAAGCAAGCTAAATATTGCAAAAGCTCAACATGGAAACCAGAGCACATATCTGTTGGATTCAGCCTACAAATGACCTCTGTGTTGCACTTGATCAGTCTGCAGCTCGGGGCACGGTGTACGGGCGCTGGACGCATGCACCTCTGATCCACAGATATTGGCATCTGTCAACCCAGAACGATCAATATGGCACATGGCACCGTAAGTGGCAACTTGTGAACTTTTCACTGTACTGATGTCAGTACATGTGACAATAAAGCTTATTCAATTCTCTTAAAAACTTGCAGGCCACTCAGGAAGCACAGACTGGCATTACAAGGTGCGACAGCAACTAGCACTAAAAGGCTACAACAGAGACACTTTGCATGCGTAACACAGGCTTACAGCTCAAAAATTGAAAAAGACCACTCGTTTGCTCTCTTAGAGCTCACTTACTTCACGCTCACTTACTTAGTGCCTACTTGCATTCCTTGCATTCCCTTGCCATGCCATATGTGTTAACACACTGGCATTTCAGCTTCTGTATTTAGCAGCTGTTTAGCACAGACACACATAAGCTGCTTGCTATGTTTGTTAGAAGGATCTGTCAGAGGTTGGGGGCAGGGGGGAGGGGGCACAAATCTTGCTGTACAGCATGCCATGGATCAGTCTAATGCCTACAGCATGAGCCACATGTTTGCATATCAAACGCACTGTACATTCATTCATCCAAATACACATGTCAGAATAGTGACGATTAGTCCTGAGTCCAGTCAAGGAGGAGTTATTGTTGGTCAGGGGGCCCTGGTACTGTCAGTCACAGGCATAAACCATAACACAGTCCAAGGGTTTTGCCATGATCAGTCAGCCGCTTGGGACACTTGCACAATCAGGGCATCTGTCCTCATAGTCTAGGAGATGTTCGGTGGCCAGTCCTGTAGGGCTAGCATAGGCAGAGAGGGGAATTGCATATCATCATTTGGGGAGCTGCAAACGAAGTGGTCAAGGGTCAGGACTGTCATTTATGGGGCTGCACATTGAAGTCAGTCAGAGATCTGGAGTGAATACAGTCATGGGTGTCTATCCATCTGTCCATCTTTCAGAAGGGTTCAAGAGGTGACCTATAGAAGTAGCAGGAAAGTCGCTGCCAGAAAAGGTGAAGGATGTCATAGAGTCATACAGCATGGAAACAGACCCTTCAGTCCAAACAGTCCATTGCCAAAAATAATCCCAAACTAAACTACTCCCATTTGCCTGCTCCTGGCCCATAATCTATCCAAACATTTCCTATTCATATATTTAGCCAAATATCTTTTAAACGTTGCAGTTGTACCATATTCACCACTTCCTCAGGAAGTTCATTCCACATGCAAACCACCCTCTGTGTAAAAAAATTGCCCTTCATATCTTTTTTAAATCTTTGTCCTCCCCTTTAAAAATGTGCCTACTCGTCTTGAAATTCCCCATCCTAGGGAAAAGACAACTACCATAAACTTTATCTATACCCCTCATTATTTTATAAACTACTTTAAGGTTGCCTCTCAACCTCCTATGCTCCAGTTTAAAAAAAAGCCCTGGTTTATCCAGCCTTTCTTTATAATTCAAACCTTCCATTCCTGGTAAATCTCTTCTGAACCCTCTCCAGCTTAATAATGTCCTTCCTATAACTGGGTGGCCAGAACTGGACACAGTATTCCAGAAAAGGCCTCACCATTGTCCTGTACATCCTCAATATGACTTCCCAACTCCTAAACTCAAAGGACTGAGTGATGAAGGCAAGTGTGCCAAATGACTTTTTAACTACCCTGTCTACTAAATTTCAAAGAATTATGTACCTGAACCATAGACATGTCAGAATAGTGACGATTAGTCCTGAGTCCAGTCAACGAGGAGTTATTGTTGGTCAGGGGGCCCTGGTTCTGTCAGTCACAGGCATAAACCACAACACAGTCCAAGGGTTTTGCCATGATCAGTCAGCCGCTTGGGACACTTGCACAATCAGGGCATCTGTCCTCATAGTCTCACACCTGAACCCTCTGTTCTATAAACTTTACCGCCATTAATTGTGTATGCCCTACCCTTGTTTGTTGTGCCAAAATGCAAAACCTCACATTTATTCAGATTGAACTTCATCTGCCATTTTTCAGTCCATTGACCGATTTGATCAAGATCCCTTTGTAGTCTTAGAAAACCTTCTTCACTGTCTACTCTGCCACCAATTTTGGTTTGTGCACAAACTTACTAATTATACCTTCTTTATTCTCATCCAAATCATTTACATAAATGACAAACAAAAGAGGACCCAGAACCGATCCCTGTGGAACACAGGCCTCCAGTCCAAACAGCAACCCTCCACCACCACTTTGTCTCCTGCCGTTGAGCCAATTATGTATCCATTTGGCAAGCTCACCCTGAAACATCTACACTTCAAGGCTGAGGGATACAAAACTGAGGCATTTGCAGACTTAGGGATAAGGATAGTGATGTAGTGAGGTATATTGAGTTTATGTAACAGCATCAAGTAGTACAGTAGGCTAAGGGGAGGTGGCAGTAGCCGTCATTCTAACCTCCATAGCGGGAGCATAGAGGAGCAGGGTGAGCTTCATTTAAGGTGTAATGCTTGGGGTCAGGAGAATTGTTGTAAGTGAAATTTAGTGAGTTGGATGGAAGTAGGCTGTTGGAGTAGTGCGAGTTCAAAACAGACATGGAGCAGGTAACCAGACAGGGCCTGGTGCTGACGGTGTCCACCACAAGCTGCAATCCCTCCCTGGGATCGTGATTCTGACTGTAGCAAGAACTTTTGCATGTAGTGAATGGGAGAACAGAATGAATTTAATATCATTAGGGTTTAAATGAGGCAAATTTGGTGTGATAGTGTGAGAAAACTCACTAGGTATGACAGAGCGAAACCTTCCGTGAAAGTAGCCAAAAATGACACTTAGCCACTCTGGTAAGATTGAGTCCAGTATAGTTACATGGAATTCAGCCTGTGGTTCACATCGTGTTGAGGACATTTTTTGTCAGATCCTTCTCCCCCTGAGCCCTCTTCTGTGACACACTTTCCTTCTGAGCGGAGCCATCCTACCCCTCCAGCTGCCCTCCTCACCATCACCACCTGCTGCTATAGGTTCCAGCATCCCGACTCGGTGCCCTGCCTCACCATCACCACCTGCCAGTGAAGATTGTTTTATTTAAATTGACCACACTCCATCAAAAGAGAGGTTAGTCAATGCAAGGAGCTGCAGAGTCCCTGCACTGACCAACTTCTGCCATTAGATGGATCCCTTCAGTACAAGTTCAGAGCTACAGTCAGTTGAAGTGAACGGCTTCAGTAGTGAAGTTAGCAGCCTAAGTTAAAGATAGAAGAACACGTGGCCCAGGTACGGGCATAGGGAGGCAAGACCAGGAGGGAGGAAACATGGCCAGGTTGGAGTCTAGTTGAGAAGCAAGGCTGGGGCAAGGGCAAAGAGAGGCAATGCCAGGCAAAAGTAAAGCCAATAGAGGAAACAAGTGGGGCTGTGGATGAGGATGAACTCCAGGAGCAAGACTGAGATCAGGGAAGGTAAAAAAAGATTAAGCTGAAAGTACTGAAGTAATTTGAAGAAACAAGCCTTAAAAACAAAATGTGTTAAGATAAAATGGCATTGAGTGCGGCACATTAAAGCAAGGACTTACTGTATTATCTTCTAGTCATGATGTGGAGGTGCCGGAATTAGACTGGGGTGGACAAAGTCAGGAGTCACATAACTCCAGGTTATAATCCAATAGGCTTATTTGAAATCACAGGCTTTCAGAGCACTGCTCCTTCGTCAGGTGCAGTGAGCTGCATCTGACGAAGGAACTGGCCTCCAAAAGCTTGTGATTTCAACTAAACCTTTGGACAATAACCTGCTGTCATGTGACTTCTGACTTTGTGTATTTTTAGTGGTTGACCTAGCAGTTTAATCATGGCAACCTTCAGGCAAATTAAATGTAGATGCAATCATAACTATCTTGCCATTTAAAAGAGCTGTTGCAACAGCTGCGCTACAGGTAGGTTTTGAAATATAACTGTTGAATATAAAACCAGGAGGTACAGGAGTTCCTCTCCTGAACCCACTTAATAAGTGCAAGTCATTGCTCACCACATTACTCAGCATCTCAACTGTAGCCCATCCCACCCCTTCACTAATTTCTTTCTAATCATCCTCCCTTTGCTAATACTCCCAGTAATGCTGCCTGTCTTATTTAAATGTATTTCTAAGTTTGTATAGTTGCCAAATTAACATACAAGCAAGTGTTGTACTTTCATTGGAGACAATTAAAAATTGTGCTCATTATTGTGCCATTTATACAAAAATAAGTCTTGCATGTGAAGTTTTGTGCAATAAAACAAAATAAAATTGGAAACATTTTGAAATGGCCAGATGATACGCTTAGTCAAATTTCCACCTAAATGGTGAAGATAAAGATTTAATCTAATGGTTTTTTTTTTCAACTATCTTTTCCCAGAACTTCAAATTTTGTACTTGAGGATGAAGAGATTACATGGAATATTCCATTACCAAAGAACTTGGATATTGTAACTCCAGCAAGTACACATTACAGTGGTAACTAACTTAAATAACAAGGAACTGGAATGTACTAGACTTGTCCACAATTTCAGATATTGGACTGCAACATCCCATCAATTTACTTCTGTGCATGCTACTGAGTTCTTGATCATGAGTCACTTTGATGTGACAAAAAGTAATAAGTGGAGTTCCACCTCCCCCACCCACCCCACCAAGGAAAGAAAGATAATTATGTGCAACCAAAACTGGAAAAGTAGGTGGGGGGAGGGAAAAGAAGAATTATTTTTCTACAGGGTATCCCTTGATCTTTGCCATTTAGGATATCCGCTGAAGTTATAGTCCATGAAATCTACAGCAGGAGATTGGGAGAGTCTCTGTGGAAGTTGTTTGGAAATCTTCTCTTCACCTAAAATAGAATTGATTTAATATTTCACATATGGTAAGATTCTACCCTCGCAAGAGCACCTAGGGAGATGCTGAGGAAAAATAAATTGAAGTAAGACTAAGTGAACGTACAATGTCATTGTACACATATGGGGAAATTGTTGAAAGTTCCAATCATGTGAGAATTGGTCATTGTTTGCACATTGTTAGAAAATATATATTGAGATGGCAATTTAAGACTAAGCAATTTGCAAAATTGAAGACATTGATAAGACATCATCCATTGTTTCTTTATAAATCAAAATAAATTTTGTGCATCAGTAGATAATGGAATAAGGTTTAATTTAGCAAATTTTGTTAATTTAATTCATTGTATGTATTGATGTCATACTTAACATACTGGATTATAATATGGCTGTCTCATTTTGATCAAAATAGCTGAATTTGTTATCAACAAAGAGAGCTTATTTCTACTGACTTTTTAAAACAATTCACTTCAATAAGATCTCCAACTCTGCATCAATAATGTGATAGGCATTGCAGTTTTTGTCCTGAAAAATTCTTTGAAGTCATCACCAGAGATTTTCTAGTTAAGTAAACTGGGTTAGTCAATGAAGATAACTTTCCTCCTTCAGTCTTGGGATGTAGTTGTTGCTGGCTGGGCTAGTGTTTATTGTCCATCCCTAGTTCTGTTTTGAGAAGGTAGTGGACTGCAGTCCAAAGCTGTAAGTAGAGTCTCAATGATATTGAAGAGGGAGTTCTAGGATTTTGACCCAGCAATATTGAAGGAATAGTGATATATTTCCAAGTTCGGCCTAAAAGTCAATTTGCAGGTTACGGTGTTCCAATGTATTAACTGCCCTTGACCTTCCAGATGGTAGTGGTCATGGGTTTGGAAGATGCTGGCTAATGAGCCTTGGTGAATTTCTGCAGTGCAGCTTGTGGATGGTACACACTGTTACAATTTGATGGCATCCATAAAAAGAGATGTATTTCCTGACTGCAAATAAATCATTCGAGCATCTGGTGGGAACTGTGTTCTCGAGGCATTTCTCCTGTTATTGTTTGTGGTGTCTCTTTCCAAATAATTTTTAAAGTTCTCCTATTTCTCCAGCTTTTAAATTGGTTCTTCATTCAGTTAGTAACTAGTACTTTCGTACTAGTTTACTCCTTTTGCATTCATAGTTAAGGATTAGTGAATATAGTGAAGGGTAATATTGATTCATAAGTTGCTTCTCTCTTCAGTAGGCTGTAAGGGTTAAACTTCTGCTTGGATTCTCCAAATTAACTGATATAACTCAGGCGGAATAATTGAAAATCCATGCAAAATTACTTTTGCGCTGTCTCTCTTTATATTGATCTACTAAAGTTACGAAAAATAGTCTAGATAATTCTAATGAAAGTGGAAGTAAGAAGATGAGTAGGTTCATTGTGTAGTTTGAGGCATCGTGCTTGAGGGTGGGTTTCAGATTCTAGGTGTATTCAAATCAATTTTCAGCTTGAGCACCTATTTGAAAGGAATGGTTGCACTACCACAGAACTGGGACCAGTGTACTACTAGAGATAGTCAGAACTGCAGATGCTGGAGTCAGAGATAACACAGTGTGGAGCTGGAGGAACACAGCAGGCCAGGCAGCATCGGAGGAGCAGGAAAGTCAATGTTTCGCGTCAGGATCCTTCTTCAGAAAAAAGGGTCTCGACCTGAAACATCAGCTTTCCTGCTCCTTTGATGCCGCCTGGCCTGCTGTGTTCCTCCAGCTCCACACTGTGTTACCAATGTACTACTGGCAAGGTTCACAAGAATGATTGTGAGAATTTAAACTAGGTTGGCAGAAGTACCAGCAAATTCAAATGGAAATGAGGAGTAAGAGACATATTGGGGTGAACATTTCAGATAGTGGTGGAGAAGGAAACAGTACCACAGTAGATATGAGCAGAACAAGAAGAACTACAAGACATACAAAGACAAGTTTGCAATGCTCATAAAACAGAGAATAAGTTTGGTGAGTCACAAGCACAAGTAGCTGTGTGAAAATTAATATTGTGAAAATAATGGAGACTGGCTTTAAACAAAATGGTTGGGATCTTAATATACAAGAATACAAAATGTTTGGGAAAAATAGAGAGGGGACAATGGAATGTTGGAAAGAGCAGGCATCCTGAAAGAGTCAAAGATCCATTTGTTTAGTGTTTAAAAAGTATAAAGGATATGGTCATGCTACCAGGGCTATTCTGTAGACCAATGAATAGTGTGATTGGAGAGGAGCAAATGTGCGAGGAAATCAGATGCATAGGAACTTGGTGGCCATGTCGAGAGAATTTTAATTTCCTAATTACAAATTAGGATAATTTTAGAGTAAAGGGTATGGAAGGATAGAATTTCTGAAATGTGTTCAGGAGAATTTTCATTACCAGTGTATTCTTAGTCAACTAGTGAAGCTGAGGTTTGTGGTGATTGGTTGAAGTCTTTTTAAGGGATCCTTGGATGAGAGTCATTAGCATATCATTTTAGCAATGGAGAAGAGCAAAGATCAACCTAAAGTAGGATTGCTTCTAATGGAATGAAACAAAAGATCAACCATAATAAATTTTTAACAGGGTAATAGATGATCTTTAATAAACTGATGTATCAAATAAAAGCAAACTCATTCCTACAAGAGCAGAAGGTGAGGGAACCAAAGCTACAGTTCCTTGTATGATGGAAAATGTTTTAAAAATCATGATGAAACCAAATAAGAGATTGTTAAGTTATCCGTGTTAAATAATTCTTCATATGAGAACTAAGCAAATAAATTAAGTTGAGCATTGAAGTGATGAAGAAAACACAACTGACCAGAGAAAAGATAAGACAATGGCAATTAACGTGAAAGGTAACACAAACATCTTCGACCAACAAGCAAATATGAATAGTAAGTAGAATGAAGTAAAGCACTGCCACAGGAGACAAAGAGGGTAATGTATGCTTTGAAACAGAGGGCAAAGTGTGGATTTATTAATAAGTACTTAGCATCAGTAGTTACAAAGGAAAAGAAAGCTGACAAAATATCAGTAGAATTTGGTATAATGGAGATGAGGAATAGAATGAAAATTCAATTTCAGCTTACTGGAAATACTGACTCTGCTGAAATGGATCAGTCACCTAGTCTGAAAGGCTTGCCTTCCAGGTAGTTGAAGCCAATGGAATTGCAGTTGGTCAATATGCTTGCCATAATTTTCCAATCTTTTCTAAATACTGTGGAGATGCCAGAGAATTGTAGAGCAGCAAATGTGATGCAACCTTTATTGTGTAAGGGCAAGGAGATTCCTCGTAACTGCAGGCCTGTCAGTGTAGCATCAATGTTGCATAACGTTCTAGAAACAATAATTTTGGGGGGAAAAGAAGCAAAAACAACTTAGAGATGTTTGAGTTAATTAAGGAGAACTAGCATAGATTTATAAAAAGTAGGTTATGCATGACTGACTAAGTTAATTTTTTGAAGTAATATAGAAAGTTGATGAAGGGAAAGCAGTTATTGTTGTTCATGTGATCTTAAGAAATTCTTTGACAAGGCTTGTTAATGTTATTGTGCAATAGGAGGGTCATTGTCAGCGTGGATAAAAGATTGGCTTAAGGACTGAAAACAGAATTGTAGAAAATACAGTAGTTGTTTTTCAGACATGAGGCTAGTTGACAGTGTTGTCCCCTAGACTCAGTGCTAGGGCCTGCTGTCTTTCACATATATGTATATAAATGATGTAGACATTGGAATACAAAGTTAAATTGCAAAATTTCCTAACAATTCCAAATTTGGAGGGGTGGCTGAGTGTGTGGATAATGCCAATTGACTGCAGCAGAAAATAGACTTGCAGAATGGACAGATATGACAGGTGAAATTTAATACAGAGAAATGTGAGTTGATGCATTTTGGCTGAAAGAAAATGTAAACTGAATAACACAGTCCTGAAGCATATGCAGAAACAAGAAGATTTTGGGGTTCATGTGAATAAATTTTTGAAGGTGACGTGGTCTTTTGAAAGAGCAGTTAGTAAAGCATGTGCAGTCTTTATTTTTTAAAGCCTGTAAGTACAAAAGTAGGGAAATAATGCTAACTCTGTAAAGTTTGGTTATACCGTAACTAGAGCGTGTGTTGCTAGATGTGAAAAGAATTGAGTAAAACAATGGCTTAAGTTGTACCAATTTTCGTAGAACATATATATTATATAGCAATACAAGATATATAAAATCAGTAGCATTATTTAAAAGGGGGCCTTGGGCTATCATGGCCTGATAATTAAATGCTGTACAAATAAAATACTGCGGTTGTTCGAAATCTGAACTAAAAACGAACTTCTGGAAAAACTCAACAACTTTGGCAGCATCTGTAGTGAAAGAGTTAACATTTGGAGTTGAATATGATTAATCTTTTGACCTTCAAGCATACAAAGCAGTGTCACATTCAGCTCAAAATTTCAACTCCATATCTGTGAAGGGAGAAATAATCAGACCTGTTTAGTTTTTCCAGAAATTTACATAAATATTAGGCAGTGTTCTTGTTAAATTTAATTTAATTAATGCCATAAACCACAAGTGTGTTCCACAATCTACAGTTCTTATTCTGGTCATCTTTCAACTAGAACTTGATAAATTTAGTAAAAACCAAAAGAACTGTGGAACTGTAAATCAGGAACAAAAATGAAGTAGCTGGAAAAGCTCAGCAGGTCCGGCAGCATCTGTGAAGAACAAAATCAGAGTTAACGTTTCGGGTCCAGTGACCCTTCGGTTTAGTAATTACTGCTAATGTTTGTATGATATTTGTATGTCTGGTATTATAATGGAGGCATAAAGAACATATTTGTTTGAAATAGAATGTTGCACCAACACAGCTTTTAACAAACAGTTCCAGGATTAAAACTGTTAATATAGAAATATGTATGACTGTGTTTAGGGTTATGGCCTAATTCATTCAGACCTTCTTTGATTTCTCTAATGTCAATAAGAAGCTAGCATAACATTAGATGTTATGATCACTATTGATTTATTTTGGTTTCTGTTACTAGATATTTCAAATACAACACAAAGCAATGCGGTGTCTCCTGATACTCTGACTTTACAATGTGATGATAAAGGACAAACAGTTGATGCAGAACAGGTAGGTGAGGAATGCTACTTTGCTTTGAATGTTTGGTTAAATTACATTAATTTCCAAAAGGTTTGCCAGGTTTTGTACACCCTTATCTCTACCTTTTGATGCCCCAGACCATTTAAGCCATTACTTCTTATTCTGGCTGATCTGACTGGTAAATGTAATTGGAACAAGGTCAGCCAGGTGAATATCATTGAACATGAATTCCCTGATTGGAGCTGTTAACCTGTTCCAATCAAGGAGTCCTGGATGACATATTACAGGAGAGTCAGGGGTTCTGCTCACGGTTGGAGCTGGTGCTGAGCTTTCTGAATCAGTGTCATGTACTGTGTATGTGTAAATAAAAGGTGACTTGGTGCTGGGATACCAGCCTTTGTGGAGTTATTTCAGTGGTGACAAGAGAAGAACACACCCCTGAATAAATTCGTTCATCACAGTTGTTGGGGTAAACATTTCTGGCATCATGCTGTATTTTGGAAAGGTTGAGTCATTCGATCCTGCCATCAAAGATGGGATCTAGTATGTGGGAAGCATGCATTATTTTTCTGGGCAAATGACATTGGGGCAGATGAAAAATAATGAGTAATTCTCCGGACAGCTTGTGGACCCACAGCTTTTTCAGTTACTGTCTTTTTCATTTAACTTTCTCTGAGGTACTAGATGCTAAAACCTTTCAAGAGTTGATGGATTTAGCTAAGGCATAATACTACCCCAAGCCTCCTCTAATTCTGAGATGGTATTGGTTTCACTCGACAGTTCCAGAACCAGGGGTATCCATGTCGGGATTTTTGACAAGGTTAAGATGACTTGCAGAGGCATTAGATTTTTGTTTAACCCTAAGTGAGATGCTGAGACACTGTTTGTTATGTGGAGTTAATGATATGATCTACTAGCAAAATCGCCTACTAGCTGAATCCCAACTGGACTTCAAACATGCACTATAACTGTCTTTGTCATCAGAAAATGCAGCCAGTGGAGCTTATGAGTTACAGGGTATTGTGATAGAATGGACACCCTCGCCAGCCCAACTGAGCTTGGGGAACGCCACTTGAGTGAAGGCAATTGCAAAGGCTCACTTAGGGCATACCCTGAACAGAGGGACTGTAGGTCAGCCACAGCAAAATCTCAAAACAAAGCCAAGTCTTGGCCAAACGGTGAAGTTTTCTCGAGGTTCCAGGCCGATAGGCTGTTGTAGTTGCTGCCTGTATGCAAACCCAAGACAGCAAAAGAGTCCCACTAGGCTTGAATTGAGTAAGAGAACTTATACACCGATATCCAGGAGAGTGCACACCCTGGAAAGTACCCCCCCATCCGACATCTGGTTTGAAACAGTTAAATTGCTTAACAGCATCCAAATCAGAACCATTCAAACTAAATGCCTGGTTAAATGGTCATCTGGTTCTAATGGAGGTCGATACCAGTGGAGCCGTTTCAGTGATCGCAGAGTCAATCTTCAGCAAAATTCACTCTGGACCCCAACCCCTAAGTTGCATAAGATCTTGGCCATACTGGGAAACTCCTACGGATTCAGGATATAACTTCAGTTCCAGTTGTTTATGAGAAGCAGCTAGTTTTGTAGTAAAAGGCTCGGGCCCAAACTTGATGGGGTGGAATTTGTTGAGAAAGATTCAACTTGATTGGCTCAGCATTTTTCAATTAGAAAATGGTTGCCTGAGTGAAGTCTTAATTAAACACCCGGAATTTTTTCAGGAAGGCCAAAAGACTATCAAAGGGGTCAAGGCCACCTTACATTTAATTTGATTTACTATTGTCGCATGTACTTTTGTACAGTGAAAAGTTTTGTTTTGCATGCAGTACAGGCAGATCATTTCATACAAAGTGCATATAGTAATAGAACAGAGCGAAGAACACAATGTTACGGCTGCAGAGAAGGTGCACAGACAATGAAGTCAACGTTAAATTTTAAATGTGCAAGGTCCATTCAGAAGTCTAATAACAGCAGGGAAGAAGCTGTTCTTTAATCTCTTCATACGTATATACAAACTTTTATATCTTCTGTTCAACTGTACTTGGTGGAAGAGAGTATAACCAGCGTGGGAGGGGTCTTTGATTATGTTGGTTTCCTTCCTAAGGCAGTGGGAAGTATAGATGGGGTTAATGGATGGAAGGCTGTTTTGCGTGATGGACTGAGTTGCGGCCCTGACTCTCTGTAGTTTCTTGCAGTCTTGGGAAGAGCAGTTGCCAAATTGCACTGTGATGCATTCAAATCCTTTGCTTTCTATGGTGTATCTATAAAAATTGACAAGAGTCCTTGTGGATATGCCAAATTTCCTCAGCCTCCTGAGAAAGTAGAGGCATTGTTATACTTTCTTGACCGTTGCATCGACATGGGTGGACCAGGACAGATTGTTTGTAATCTTCACTTTAAAGAACATGACTCTCTCGACAAGCTCCACCTCAACACCATTGATGTAAACAGGGCCATGCCCTCCACTCTGTTTCCTGAAGTCAATGACATTTTCTTGACATTGATGGAGAGATTGTTATCTTTATTCCATGTTGCTGAGCACTCAATCTCTTTCCTGTATTCTGTTTCGTCATTGTTTGAGATCCGCCCTGCTACAATGGTGTCGTCAGCAAACTTGTTAATGGAGTTGGAACAGAATTTGGCCACACAGTCATTAGTGTGCAAGGGGTACAGTAGGGGGCTCAATACTCAGCCTTGCGGGGCACCAGTGTTGAGGATTATGGTGGGGGAGCTGTTGTCACCTATTCTTACTGATGGCATTCTATGGGTCAGAAAGTCGAGGATCAAGTTACGGAGTGGGCAGGCAAGACCTAGGTCTCAGAGTTTAGAGATGAGTTTGTTTGGAATTATGATGTTGAAGGCAGAACTGTAGTCAATAAGCAGGAGTCTGATGTAGGTGTTCTTGTTATCTAGATGTTCCAGGGATGAGTGTAGGACCAGGGAGATGGCATCTGCTATGGACCTGTCGGACTGGTAGGTGGATTGCAAAGAATTAAGGCTGCAGTTGATACAAGTCATGACTAACTTCTTGAAGCTCTTCATAATTGTAGAGGTCAGAGCCACCAGGCAGAAGACATTGAGGCACACTGCATGATTTTTCTTTGGCACTCGGCTGATGGTGGACTTCTTGACACAGGAGGGGACTTAAGATCGTAGTAAGGAGAGATTAAAGATATTTGAAAATACTCCCGCCAGCTGGTCCACATTGGATCTGAGTGCATGGCCAGGGACTCCATCTGTGCCAGTTGCTTTCTGTGGGTTCAGTCTAAGAAGGCTTTATGGTGGTGATCGTGGCTGCAGGTGTGTGGCTGCAGGTGTATCCAAGGCTATTGGGATAGGTGACATTGTTTCATTTATCTTCTGTTCAAAGTGAGCCTCGAATGCATGGAGCTCATTGGCTAGGGGATATACGGTTGCCCATGGTTCTGTTCGACTTCACATTGTAGCCCGTTACATTGTGTAAGGCTTGCCACTAAGAGTGGGTGTCTGTGTGGTTGGTCTGAGTCTCAAGCTTAGTTTGGTATTGTCTCTTGGCATATCTGATGCCATTATGATGGTCGTACCTGGATTTCCTGTGTAGGTCAGGGTTGCCTGACTTGTACACCTCACACCTGGACTATAGTAGGGAGTGGATCTCCAAGTTCATCCATGGTTTCCAGTTGGGGAACAATCGGATTAACTTCTTCAGCACACTGTCTTCCAGACATTCAGTGATGAAGTCTGTGACGGTAGTGGCATGCTCGTTTACATTGGCCACTGAGTTTTTTTATGTGGCCCAGTCCACAGACTCTAAGCAGTCCCTTAGAAGCTCTTCCATTGCCTCAGACCAACACTGCATTACTTTCTGTACCGGGATCTCATGCTTCAATTTCTGCTTGTAAGCCGGTAAGAGGAGCACAATGTATGATCTGATTTTCCAAAATGCGGATGAGAGTTGGAGCGGTAGGCATCTTCAGTAGTATAGCAGTGGTCGAGGATGTTCGGAGACAGGAGACATGTTGATTGTATTTTGATAGCACATTCTTGAGGTTGGTCTGGTTGAAAGTTACCAGCTACAAAGAACAAGGCCTCGAGATAGTCGGCCTCAAGACTATTTGTAGCATTGTATACCTTGTCAAGTGCACTCTTCACCTCTGCTTTGCTGACCGTGGTCTACATCCCATCCCATGCGGAAGTGATCTCGCGTGGCAGGTAGTAGGGATGGCACTTTACTGTAAGATATTCTAGGCCCAGGGAGCAGTAACTCACCAGGCTCACCACTTCTGAGCATTGGGAGGTGTTGATTAGGAGGCAGACAACACTGCTGCTTGGATTGCCTGAAGACGCCGAGCAGTCTGTTTGGTGAACTGAGAAACCCTCCGGTTGATTGTAAGGCAGTCAGGTGTAGCAGGAGTGAGCGATCTCTCTCTTAATCAGAGCACATAGCAGTCTCTCAGTTCCCTTGCATGTTGACCAAGAAGCAATTCTATGATTCTGCAAGCACCACCGAGTGCCATTTGCCTTGCGTGCAAAGTAGAGGCAGAAATCAGGACTCTGACAAGTGAAGGACTCATCAGACCAGTGCAGTTTGTGAAATGGACAACTCCTGTTGTACTGTTTGTGAAGCTGAGCTGATCATATCACCTTTGTGAGGATTTCAATCAAACAGTAAACCACTTTTTCACAGCTGGATAAATACCCAATCCCTAGCAAAGAGGACTTGTATGTTAAATTAGCAAGGGGGCTGTCCTTCACGATGCAGGACATGAGCCATGTGTACTTGCAGTTGTGATTAGATGAGGATTCCCAGAAGTATGCTACAATTAAAACTCATATGCATTTGTACTAATATACAAGACTGCATTTTAGGGAGTCAAGAGCCTATGCCATTTTCCTGCAGACAATGGAGAACATTTTACAAGGTCTACCCCAGGTCGCCATTTATCTGGGTGGCATGCTAATAATCAGGAAGACCAATAAAGAGCATTTAGAAACTTGGACATAGTGCTTAAGTGCTTCTCCAAGGCAGGTACACCTC